AAACAATCATGTCATGTCCTTCTCTCTGTCTCTAAGAAGGCACTCTACTTTTCTTTATCTTTCCTCTGTTTTCTTGTTCTTATATTAATCAAGTCAGAATTAACAGTTAATCTTATTGCTACATTGGCGACCTTTCCTGCATCCTGATGTTGGTTGTTTATAGGACGAGTTGATCCGGGAGCTGAAACAGACTCTGAATGCCATAAAGCTGGAGGAGAAGGGTGTGTATGTGCAGGCCTCCACACTCGGCTCTCTGGAAGCTCTGCTGGAGTTCTTGCGTACATCCAAAGTGCCTGTAAGCTTTCAAACACTCACACATACTCTCATAAAACCCATTTTATAGTTCTTAAACAGTATAATATTAATTATCAGCATTGGCTGATCAGTTTTTCTGTTTGGCTGATGTGTCAGAAACAGGACTTTTATTTTGACAGCACTGAGAATGCCAGCGCCTGAGTGCATGGCACTCTCCATCTTCTTTAGCTTGCTCATTAGTCTCAGTTTAACATTTTCTGTCTAATATATTATTACAGTGCTTACATCCTCTATATATATATATATATATATATATTAGTAATCTATTTATTTGTGAAAAATACCATAATACGATTACAGAATCAAGAAGTTGCCATCAAAAGTTTAATATTAGTTTTATTTTTTCTAATTATTTCTAATTTAGTAAACATTATGTAAAATAAATTTCATTACAGCAATTATGCATGTTTTTACTACCTTTACAATAATTGTGTGATATGTATACAGTATGTGTATGTATATATATATATATATATATATACATACACATACATACATACATACACATATATATATATATATACACACAGACACCACAAAATTGGTGGTAACTTTGTGCGATGCACAAATAGCTCTCCTCACATGTAGCACAGATTCATATTTGATTCCAGTCGAGTTTAATGATAGCATTTTGCATAAAAATACGTAGTGCACAAACATTTTTCAAATTAGTCCATTTTTAATTAGATTTTATGTATTTTATCAATATTTTGAAGTTCAAATGAAATGCAAATATACTTATAATCAGCCTTTCTTTTGTCTTGGCTGCCATCTTGAAGTATTGTTTTTTTCTTCCCACATGGAGCTTGTCACAATGTAATTAAGATAAGGAAAGATTCTCTCTCTGTCCCTCAGTATGCTGGCATCAACATTGGTCCTGTCCACAAGAAAGACGTCATGAAAGCTTCCACTATGTTGGAGCATGATCCACAGTATGTATTCTGATTGATACATAATATACCTCCTCTTGTGAGATTGTTCTCCTAATCTTTCGCTCTCTCTTCCTGTAGGTATGCAGTGATCCTGGCGTTTGATGTGAAAATAGAGCGAGATTCTCAGGAGTTGGCCGACAGTCTCGGTGTGCGCGTTTTCAGCGCTGAGATCATCTATCATCTGTTTGATGCCTTCACCAAATACAGAGAAGACTACAAGAAACAGAAACAGGATGAATTCAAGTGCGTTCTCTACTGCCCTCATCCTTCCCTTCTATTTTAATCATTGACATATATGCTACTGTTCACTTTCTAGTTAATACTAAAATTAACTTTTATTCAACAAGGAATTATTCAAAAGTGTCAGTAAATACATTTAAGAATTTCTCTGTCAAACAAATGCTGTTCTTTTAAACTTTCTATTCAGCAAAGAATCCTGAAAAATGTATCACAGTTTTTATAAAAATAATATTAAGCAGCACAACTGTTTTCTACATTGATAATAAGAAATGAGTAATGGCTGCTGAAAATTCAGCTTTGCATCACAGGAATCAGTTACACTTTAAAATGTATAAAAAATAGAAAACAAATTGTAATAATTTACAATATTACTTTACAATATTGTTTTGCAACATTTGGATCAAATAAATGCAGCCTTGGCGAGCATAAGAGACTTCTTTTGAAAACATCATAAAATCTGAAAAACCAACCCCAAACTTATGAATGGTAGTGTACAATTTATCATTAACTCACCTGAGCCAAAAGTCATTTTACATCACAAACTAGACTAAATTCTTCAAGACAGTGGTTTCTTTGAAAAACAGGTAGTTTCTCCTGAGTGTTTGCAGTCTGAATATCTGAAAGTTTTTCTCTTTTTCAGACACATAGCTGTGTTCCCCTGTAAGCTGCGTATATTGCCCCAATTCATCTTCAACTCCAGAGATCCCATTGTCATGGGCATCACTGTGGACGCTGGAGTACTGAGAACGGGCACTCCTGTGTGTGTGCCCAGCAAAGGGGTGAGAAATTTAGAGAGTGCACACTTTAAGCTCAACAGTGAAAGAAGCAGAGAAGCTCCTTTCCTCTACTGTCAGCTTTTACATTTTAACAGTTTATTTTAAGGTGAAATTTGTTTGGTTTGCATTCATTTGTTCCACGCTCTCTGTCTCTCTCTCTCAGTTTGTAGATATTGGCATTGTGACCGGTATTGAAATAAATCACAAGTCTGTAGAAAGTGCTAAGAAAGGACAGGAGATCTGTGTGAAAATAGAGCCAATTCCTGGAGAATCACCCAAGATGTACGGCCGACACTTTGAGGCTGTAGACATCATTGTTAGCAAGGTAAGCTCTCTCCCAACATCATGAAATAAAGCCACTGGAGCTCACATGATGCGTTCTTTTTGTTTCAATTATAATAAATTGTATTAGAATTTTATATTTTAATTTGTGTTTGATAATATTTATTATATTTTATTATTAATGTATTATAATTATTATATATATATATAAATTCTAATAATAATAACTTTTAAACAATAGTAATTTTTACTTTTGCCTTGGCAACTAACTAATATACTAAAATTTTAAGCTGTACTAATATGACTCAAACTAAAAATAAAGGGAAAAAAGCTAAATAGAAATATATATTAAAAAAAAAACTACAAATGTTGCAGCACTATTCAAATGTCTTCCTTTATTTCTTGCAGATCACCCGTCAGTCAATCGACGCTCTGAAGAACTGGTTCAGAGACGAGATGCAGAAATCGGACTGGCAATTAATCATGGAACTGAAGAAAACCTTTGAAATCATCTGAACACACCAGTGACTGACTGACTGATCGTAGATCTAAACGACCCCCATGCACACATACAAATGCTATACGTTGTTCACTCCTAAAGGTCACTTGTGATTATGGAGTCATCAGTGTTGCTCATACATTTAAGGACATTTGTACTCCGACACAGCCTTGCACAGTCCTGTATTGAGGACTAGTTTCTCGTGTGCATGGGCGAACACTCACACCACTCCCCTTTTCTTCTCCAGCTCTTTTTGGGTGGTGGGGAGTGTTGGACACACAAAAAAGTGGGGGAAAAAAGCAAGGAAAAAAGTTTTTCTGTGAGAAACTGAAACTTTTACCACTGTTTTAAACAGTGACAGATGTTAGAACATGTTAGACAACCTATAGAATTATTCCAAACGTGCCTGTTCTCTCTGATCAATCCAGTTTATTTTTCTTTCATTTCTTGGTATTCTCCTTAAAGTTCACTGTATGGCTGGAATAAACTTGAGCCGCTGATTTAGACCTGAGGTCTGACCTTAGATTTACACTGAGGGTTAAATCAAAAGTTATAAAGGGAAGTCAGTGTGGCTTTCGTGAATGACTGATGGAGATTTTGCTAGTATTTTAGATATCAAAAAACATTTACCTTATCAGTATTTTCATTTGCCCTGCTTTTTCCTTTCCTTTCTGGAGTGCAGTTCTTAAATGGTCCTTTTTAAAGCTATCCTCTCCCAGCCAGAAACGGACTCTCGTCCTCTCCCTCCCTCGAGTTTCCTTAGTGCCCACTGACACCTTCACCCAGAGTGTGTGAACTTGGATGAAAGGCCCGTCCCTTCCTCATTTTGAATATGAAATATCAAAAAAATTGAGACATGAAAATCAACAATAAAGAGATGGCCTATTTATAGGTGATGTTCTTTCTTAAGTTTTGTTTTTTCATGATAAATACACAGGTGAATCTTGGAAAAAGGTAAAGAAATGAAATAGACATTATATTTTGCATGAAGAAAAAGACACTATTTTTGAACACCACAAAGATATATGATTTTTTTTTTTTTGCTCCAAAATGTCAAAAGCCGGCTATAATGTGGGAAAACTCATCCTCATTACTGATGTGAAAAAAAGAAAATATATATCTATATACACATCATGGTAGTGTTAGTTGTAGGCAATTTATGCTGGTTTTAATCATTAAAAATTGTATTGATTGGATGGTTTTCAGTACTTCATTACAGCACATAGCATGTATATTAATACTATATTCATTTATGTATTGCTATATTACAGTAATGAGAATTTGAGAGAGAATGTGCTTGATGTGAAAATGTTTGAAAATCCTAAAGGTCCTTAAATGTATTTTTCCCCCCATTGTTAAATATAATGAATTCCAGTCAGTGACCAAACCTTGTCCTGCCAAAAAAAAAAACAGAAAATGACGTTTATTTGTTTGTTTATTATGTATTTATCTATGGTGGCTCCTGGTTAAGGAGTAGAGTTTAATTTACTTTTTAATTAATCTATGGGGTTTTTAGGAGCTGTCGTGTTATCTGAATAAAAATCCAGCAGGGGGCGCTACAGGTACATATGGATTTCAATGGAATAGTATTTGGCATCAGCGCCTTTTTGAATAAATTCAGGCGTGTTGGTTGGTCTTATAAACAGAGTGTAGACTTTAATGGATGCGTGTGGTCTGTAGATCATACAAGTTGACTTTTGCTCAAGATTTGATCAAAATAGTTTGTGTTTTACTCCACCTATGGACGTGTGGTGTTAAATATAGTCGATTCACTAACATACGACCAAATGTTGACTTTCATATCCAGTCTAGTGCTGCTAAATGCCTAGAATGTCAATGCGTTTGTTTCTGAAGACTTTAAAATATTCAGTGAGCCCAAGCAGCATGAATTGGGTGTCATGTTGCGGAAAACAATTGCAGATTGTTGATTTTGGTTTAAACCAGGCTGACATCCCGCCAGATGAAAGAAGAGGAGAGAAGCCGGACCTGCCCGATAACCCTCAACAAATCGTCATCCCTAACATCCAGGGAAAAGGAGGGATCAGAGTCCTCGCTCCAAATATCCTGCTGCTTCTGCTGCGGACTACACACAGGATATCTGTCATTTCATTCGGCCTGCATATTCGTTTGCTTATGGATTATCTCGTTTGAGCTTTAGACGCATACGAAGTCATGAATTCGGCTGAACAGACCATCACATGGTTAATAACGCTGGGTGTCCTGGAATCACCCAAAAAGACACTGTCGGACCCTGAAGGCTTTTTACAGGCATCTCTCAGAGATGGAGTGGTTTTGTGTAAACTGCTGGAACGATTGCGACCCGGTTCGGTTCACACGGTAAGCCGTTTGGCATGAAGCTCATGCAGTTCCATAACAGAGTAAATCAATTACACAAAAGCACAGATGTTTTTGTGCGTCGGAGCGTCGGTCTCCGCGCGCGCCTTTTGTGTTCGTTCACTGCACGCGCTACGATTAACCAGCACACTAGCATACCGTTTTCTTTAAGTTTTAGTTTTAAATTTAATTTCTTGAACTGTGAGTAAAAGGGGATTAAGTAGAATGTATGTAGAGGAAATTTTGTATAATTTGCAGTGATGGGGAAAGAGCGGTATTTTAATAATAATCGTAATGAAAAACGCAATTGATCAACAACAAATACATAAACGGATATTAATCTTGGGATTTGTCTATATAAGTCGACCGCCATTGACTGGTAAATAAAGAGAGAGGAAACGACGATGTCCGGTTAGTGAACGAATTGTTTTTGAGTTGGAACTTTTTAGTGAATCAGTTGAGCACCTGTCTGAATGATTCTTTCGCGAATCTGACTCTTTGAACCGATCCGTATCATTCGGACGTGTCCGAGATAATGAGCCAAAAAAACTGATGGATGAATAGATAATAAATACTACAAATTCTGCTTAAATGCCACTTTCATGAGCCGTGGCTGCACAAATTGAATTGAGACACTTGAAATTACAAGGAATAACCAAACTTAATAGGAAAGTATTCCTCATCGGGATGTCATGGCCCGTTGTTGTTGTTTTTTTGAACCGGCTCATTGGAACGAACTGTTCGAAATAACCGATTCGCGAAAAAATGAATTTAACTTCTCATCACTAGAAATATGTGGCTTGTGGAACATTACTTTTTTATAATTAGACCATTTTGATTTTAAATAGAAATCTGCTAATGGAGCAGAGTTATTGAATTTGAGCACATTTCAAAACAATATTAAATTCTCGCTAAACATCCTTTGTTCTTTTGCAGGATGTTTATTTGTAACTGTATGGAGTATAGTATCATTTTTATGTTATAATTTATTATATCCACATACGCTTTGATATAAATGATAATGCTGATGTTTAATTAATAATTCATAAACATTTTGTGGTTTATATCAACCATAGTCTCGACATACAGCGTAGTCGAAAGTATTCTAATTTATATGTAATACAACATAGTCTGAAATCGTCGACACAGATATGATCGCAGCAATCGTATGATTTTATAAAATGTCTGAAGCTTAACAGACTGTGATAAACTCTGGGAAAGTGGAACGTTAAATCAGATGTCCAGATTCACTGACAGGTTCTATTGTAAAAACAATGTGTCGCATAGTTACAGCATTTCACGGAGATGTTAGACTTTGCTCTGACAGGACTGCTCAGGTAGTGTCTGCTTGTGCCAGCATGCCGCTCTCACTGAACCCAGCCAACCGCAAGCTATTAGCGCACGTCATTTCCGCTATTCCTCCGCCAACTTCCCTATGAAGAATAAGTGGATTTTTGCAGGAACGGGGCGATGAGCCGTGATATAAACAAATGGCATATTCGCATACGTTTTTGTTTATTCTTTGAAAAACCTGCTTGGAAGAGGATTTATCTGTTCGCTTTATTTTCAGATCTATCAGGACCCGCGGAAAGACGAGTGTTTGAGTAATATCAGAGAGTTTGTGAAAGGCTGTGCATTATATCACATAGAGGTGAGTGCTGCATGATCTTTCAGCTTCTGTTTTAGTCGTTCATTTCCATTGCATGCTCGTTTATATTTCTGAGCACTGATTCAGTGGCTTGTTTGTGTGGTTTGAAGGCAAATCAGTCGCCAGACTGAGTCAGCTGGAGTTGGGAACAGACTAATCCTGTGTGTTTTGGTTTTAGTGTTATTATTACGTCGGTAACAATGGCATTGGGTGTTATTGCGGCATCTTGGCTTGTTTGTTGCCATGACAATTTCTTAGATGATTAATGCAACATTGCTTTAATGTGTCATTTGTAGATGTCCAGGTAGCTTGCTCTGCTTTGTGTTTACAGACAGTGAAAAGTCAAGCTGTGGAAGACAGAATTGATTATAAAAACATTGAAAGACATGATATCACAATCAATAAACTATTTATAAGGGCCCCGTGGCCTGTATTTTGCAATTAATCACTAAGGAGGTGAATGAGAACTAACTGACATGTGACTGTCCAAAATTACACAAAAATGTGAAATAATAAATGCCAAGAGCAAGTATTTCAGGAAAACAATTGATACATTTGGGTTTATTCAGAATATCCTTCCAATATATCCCAACAGCTGCAAAGAATCTAAAAGTGTTTTCCAGAATAAAGCAGAATGTGGGCTTTAAACTGAAGCTGATGTTCACGTAAGTCAAGTCAATTTTATTTTTATACCGCTTTTTCACAATACACCTTGTTTCGAAGTAGCTTTACAGAAAAACATGATGTTTATAGTATCGTACTATCTTCATGTCTTATAGTTGCATTTAGCAGATTAGAGCTGAGTGCTAACATAGTTTGCATTTTGATACAATATAAACAATCTAGCAGTTTAGTTTTACTATTTAGTATATACTAGTCGTTTATGTGAGAATACTGAATGTGTGTGGATAAAGCTGGATTTACTTGTATATTCAACTTTTAAATAGAGCTGTTCAATTATATGTATAGTTTACATGGCAACATGATCATGATCTGGTGAAACTGGACTGCTGAATTACAAGCATGAATGTCCAATATTTAGTGTAACGTTTCATAATAAACACTTTAACTTCAGTAATTTACAGGGTGTTGCCGATTGGGCGTTGCACCTGACAATGCTCAATGCCAGGTCAAATTTATTCAGAGTCGTCCAAACTTGTTTATCAAGAGAAGTTCTTTGCTGAAAATTGCAGTGCATTGTAACATTTTTTTTTTTTTACACTGTTGATATGCTATTAACAGTTCATTTGTTTGTAAACATGGTGTTCTGGCAGCTCAGTCTCCACTCAAGTCCAACACCTCAAGGTGTTGGTATGAGACTGAATCAGATCCTTCACCCACACAGTGTTTTTACTGGAGGCAGAGCCAAATGCTATTGTTAAACCTGTTTTTGTGTTCAGATCTAGCTCTGCCCATTTTTCCTGCAGATATCTATAGTATGTCTGTACAGGCAATTGCATGTCGTTTCTTGGTAAAAGCATGCAAGAATAGACAGCACAGTATGCAGCCATAAATTATTCACAGTATAGTGCAATGAATTGTCACACGACCTTTGATTTACTGCAATCTCTAAAGTCTAGCACTGGCTATGTAATGAATTCCATTCAGATCTAATGTGATAGCTCCATGTTATTTTGAAAGTGACGATTTTCTCAACAACTGCTGTTCTGTCAGTAAAAGCTGTTTTTACTTTTTGAATGCCACATTTTTTGTCACTTTTGAGTGTTTTCAGGAAATCTGACAGTGATTTTTCTTCACAAACACTTCTGTGCTTGTTAATGTTTGGCAGCGTGATCGCATAACTGCAATCTTTCTGCCCACAGGGGTGCTGGGCGCGTATGTTGCTCTGTGCGGCATTTGTTGCTCTGTATGAGTGTGCTGTTGTGTAGGACCGTTGTGGTTCTACTTCTGTGTGTTTCAGGAGTGCCAGTGTCTTCGGTTCTTCTAGCCAGCTGTGAGAGGTTCAGACAAGCCCTCTATTGTGGTGAATGGAGTTGTGTGTTTGAATGGGCAGAGCTGCCAGCTCATTAATGGTGCTGTGGGGTCTGGCACAGACCAGAATTAAGAGAGGCACTCCAGTCCACACTAAAACTGCTTTTTCAAATGGCATGTTTGGATGACTGGTTTAAAGAGAAAGAGCAGGAGGGAATTTAATTCCACTACAGTGATGGCAGATGATGTAATGTAGACTTCGATGTGTGAGATGATTGTTGATTGTGTTTGAGTCTTGGGGATTGGACTTTAGGCCTGTATCAAGTACTGAATATTAATGAAATGTCTTTGTGTATCTTTTTTTTGAGAGATTCATCTGAGAAAATAAACATAGTTTATTTAACATCTTAATTCACTGATAGGAGAAAGTTTCTTTTGTCAGTTCCTGTTAAGTTCATCCTCTTATAAAATCATTGTTGACTGTTTTTAGATTGCTACATTGCCATGGGTTAAAAATGTTTAATGACTGCAACCAGTTTATTAATGCACAGTACTGATCAAAAGTCTGGGGGTCGACAAGATTTTTATGTAAAGTTACAAAGCTACGAGAATACTTTTTTGCACAAAGAAAACTAAAATAACAACTTTATTCCACATTTTCGTCTCCACTTTGGACGCGCGTTCACGACAGTACCACGACGCGAGCGTGTGGTGGCGCCGGCGCTGACCCAGATCCGGCGTGATGACATCATTACGCCGGATCTGGGTCAGCGCTGGTCCACAAGTGACGCAGTAGAGACGAAAATGTGGAATAAAGTTGTTATTTTTGTTTTTTTTGCGCAAAAAAAGTATTCAGAGAGTACTTTTTTTTTTTTAGTATTCAGGGTCATAGAGAGCCCTCAGATTTCATCAAAAATATCTTAAATTGTGTTCTGAAGATGAACGAAGGTCTTACGGGTTTGGAACAACACGAGGGTGAGTAATTAATGACAGAATTTTCATTTTTGGGTGAACTAACCCTTTAATGGTCTCTTATACGGCTGCATTTATATAATCCCATTACTCCAGTCTTCAGTGTCAAAAGATTCTTTAGAAATCATTTTAATATGCTGATTTTAATATTTTTGTGTAAACCGTGACATTTTTTAAAGGATTTTTTATATATTTATTTATTTCTATTTATTTATTAATTTTTTTTGGAAGGATAGAAATGTCAGAAAGAACAGCATTTATTTGAAATAGAAATCATTATAGCATTATAGGGCTAGTAAATAACTAAAGGAAAGGAAAAATCTTACCTAACCCAAATTGTGAACAGTAATGTAAGTGTATTTTATTCCTAAAATTAAACAAAATCTCTCTGACCAATATGTAAGAGAAAAAATAGTTGTAATCAAAGTTACAGGTGATTTTTTTTTTTAAGACATGAAATCTAAATGAACCCAATTTACTTCCTTAATACATGGTAATACCTCATAAAATCAAGTGTTTCACTTGAAAAGACTTCATATTATGGCAGTGAAATGGGAAAATGGCAAACACTTCCAAAAAAAAAGACTTTTTTTTTTATTATTGATAAAATAGCCTTCTTCCTAACTGTGTATAGAAAACAATAGCCACGTAAACACTGCAGCTAAATTCAGTTGTCAGTTCACCTTTTAGTGCTTAATTCTGTTCTGACACTCAGTTTAGTAATTTACGGGAGCAACAACCACTATAATCGAATTGACTCCCAAAAAATTCAAGTAGTGGCAACCCCTTTTGGAGAAATTCTACATGGTGTGTACGGAACCAAACTGAACAACTAGTTGTTAATGACGTATTTAAACATGTGTCAGTGTTGTGGTGCAAGAAATCACAGTAAAGGAGGTACGTCTTGACTCAGTGTTGCCAGACCTTGACATAAAAAAAACTGCAAATGAGAACAAGCCAATAATAAACTCCAATAAAATCCAAACGTGCTATCTTGGAAATAAGCCACATACCAAAATATCGCCACCTGCCTACTTTATTATCTCCATAAACTGGATCGCTTTATGAGCTGGGCCCAAACAACAAACCCAAAGACACCTAATAAGCATTGCTTATAATAAGTGGACATGGCAACACTTCAACAGCGCGATCTGCAAAGCAACCTTCCAAACTTAAACAAAACACGATGGCTCTGCCAACAGTGGTTTTGTTAAAATCGCCAAACATAAGTCTTTGGTCGCTATAATATTACTTTGGTCAAAATTAGCGAATAACAAATGCGTGAGACAGCAAAACATTGCTATGATTACAACAGTTTAATCATTGCCGTTTCGAGAGTGAGTTTAGTTCTGTACACACACAAAACTGTAATTTAGGGGATTCACTACCGTATTTAAATATGGTTGTCACTCCTGAAACTTTAAAGTGTGTACGTGGCCAACAAGTAAACCATTCATAGTTGACTTTCCTCAAAAGGTATAGTTTCCTAAATTATAATCATCATAGAAAAATGCAAATGAGCTGATCCACCAGGAAAAATGTGGTGTTTGGTGTCCAGGACCACTTTACTTCTCCATCTTATTGCCTGTATTGTTTGAAGAGTTCAAATCAGGCCAGTTTGGGTTTACTTGGGATGAGCTTATGTGTCCAGATGGCCCAGAGAGCAGCAGGTAGTCTAAGAGCCAGCAACCCACACGCACACAACACTGCCCTAGCTTAGCAAAACTACATTCTTATATTCCCTCAGTGAAGCAGACTCCTTTTATAGAGAATCTGTGATCCTCATAAATGTTTGTAGGTTTCTGTGACTGGAACTTTGGTCTGTCGCAAAGAGGTCAAAGAAATTAACCCTACTGGCAAAGTTTCTGTATTGTTGCTTATTCTGCAGAATATGTGCATATTTTTAAGAATGATTGTTACTGTTCTGCTGTTTTGCATATGGCCTCTAGATTTGCATATTTAGCATTACATGACTTGAGTTACAATCCATCTCTGCTAAAACTGTCCATCCAAGTTTAATATATAGACTTGAAGCTTTTTACCATGTGTAATGCTTGGGCCAGCATCACTCATCGTATTCTAATCCTTTGATGCATTTCATTTCAAATGCATAAATATGCTGATTTAAATCACAAAAAATATTTCTTATTATTATCAGTGTTGAAAACAGTCGTGCTGCTTAATATTTTTGTGGAAATCATGATACTTTTTTTCTGGATTCTTTGATGAATAAGTATTTTAAAACATTATGAAAGTTTTTACTTTTACTTTTAATTAGTTTCGTACATCATTGCTGAATAAAAGCATTAAATAAATGTATTGTTATTTTTTGTATTGCAGATCAAAAAACAGTATTTATTATTTTGGGACGTGTTAACCTACTGCACTTATGGTATCTTGTGCATCAAACCAAAACATCTAAAATGTAATTTCTTTTTGTATAGGATTATCTGTATGATGTGAAACTAGCAGATCCAAATTCTGTACTTTTATTCGCTTTATATTTGAGCTCATGAATGTCTTTTCGTTTTTTGCATGTGTAATTGTTGCTTTTTTCCCTCTGCAGGTATTTGAGGCCAATGACTTGTTTCAGGGCCAGAACTTCTCCAAAGTCTTGAATTGTTTGGTTGCACTCAACAAAGCAACTTCAGGTGCGATACGTCTGAAACACCTGTATTATCAGTGCTGTCTGACCAGATGTTTATCAAATCATTTGATAAGTAAAGTCATTTAGTTTATTACCAGCATAGCCTAGCTGTATTTGTCTTGTCACAGTATTTACGCAGAAGTGAGCTAAAACCTGATATCATTGCCCAAATATTTTTTGTAAATATTCTTAAAAATGTTTTTTAAAGGAAGTTTTCTGTTAAAGAGATAGTTCACCCAAAAATGAAAATCTTGTCATCATTTACTCACCCTCCACTTGTTCCAAACCTGTATGAGTTTCTTTCTTCTGTTGACCACAAAAGAATGTTGGTAACCAAACAGTTGCTGGTAGCCATTGACTTTAGGGCTGTCGCGATTCGTCGATTTTATTAGACTATTCGATTTTTAAAAATCCGCAAAACCAGCAAAATACCGGATGTGAGTTTGGGTTTATTATAACGTTCATCTGGGAACGCAGCGTGCACCATTTCATCAGATTTGTAAGGTAAATCTAGGGCTGGACGATATGGCCAAAATTGATATCACGATATATTTCTTAATTTCGGTCGATACGATATAATTCCGATATCGATATGAATCTTTTGTAACATTATAAATGCCTTTTATCATCACTTTTGATCAATTTTAAGCATCCTTGCTAAATAAAAGTATAATTTCTATAATTTCTTTCCCAAAAAAATTATAAAAATTATACTGAATGGAATAGTGTATAATGTTACAAAAGCTTTTTATTTCAGATAAATGCTGATCTTTGGATCTTTCTATTTATCAAAGAATCCTGAAGAAAAAAATTTACTCAACTGTTTTAAATATTGACAAAAACTGGAAATGTTGCTGGAGACGGGCTTATTTAAAATGAAAACTCATTCTCTGCCAGCAGGAGGCGCT